GCATTCTTCAAAAATATTTAAATAACAACGCCTCCTACTTCCACAGGACGAAAACAATTTTTTTTGATAATCTGATTAACCAAATTTGAACTTTAAAAACACTGACATGATTACAATCAACATACACGTACACATGAACAGACAGACAAGCAAACAGACAGGCAAACAAACAAACAGACAGGAAAACAAACAAATACACACTTACAGAGAAAATTGCAATTTTGGAAGGAAGCAACTATGAATTGATCTGCAACTACTCTCATAGAAGACCCAGCATTTTGTTCTGGTCTGAAACCGTGACCGCGCAATCTCAAGGGAAATCACAAATTGGCAGCGTGAACTTTAAAGATAACAGCGTGCTACCTTATCCAGATTATACTTTTAAAAATGTGAAAATAAACCGGGCCACTTTCAGTTTGATGATCACCAACATATCTCAAACACAGGGCGGTGAATACTATTGCAGCGACACCGATATAGATAACGTCATCTCAAAGTTTGATATCAATGTCTGCGGTCAGTTATTTTTTATGATTTAATTAGTTATATTAAAATTAATTCAACGTAATAAAGAATGAAATGATTCGTCCTGGCCGGACTCCAACGCGAGTAAAACTTCGATTATCTCAAGTTCGGGTGTATGACTTGGTCTTATTTTGAACTGACGTATGAGTGTTGAGTAGATTGGAACCGCTGAATCATTTGTGATTAATTCGACCAATCAATCCACTACCACCAATCAATCCATATATAAATTAATCAACCAATCAATCAATCAAAAGGTGGCATAATATTTGAAGTTCCAAACGAGCTAGAAGAAAAGAAAGATTACAAAATAAAGTGCAAAGTGAGCTGCACTGGTTTGACCACTCTGAAAATGTACATCGTCCTGGGTGGCGAGCAGGTGTTGCTGCAGCAGAGCACGCTCTCAAATGAAGATGTCTACGACTACTTCGGTGGTGAGATAAACTACCAAGCGTCTGGCGAGGACGATGGCAAGGAGATCCAATGCATCAGCAGTCTCCCTATCGTCAACTATGACAAAAAACTCGCCACTAGGAAGCTGTCCGTCAAATGTGAGTACCTCGAAAACATGGCGTTTGATATATCCATCGTCATCATCATCAACATCAACATCATCATCATCATATTTCGTTCACACAGACGCCCCAAACAAGCTGTCCATCCAACCAGAAGTGACTGATTTGAGAGAGACTGACGAAAAAATCCTCTGCACCTCGAACGGCAACCCGAAGCAGAGCGTGAGTCTGGTGGTGCACGGTCACCAGGCAACTTCGCAAACGCCGCTTGGGACTGCCAGCGTGAATGTGGCCGACCTACCGTTCAACGAAACTGTCACTGCCTCCTGTGAAGTCAAACCGGCTGGTGGCCTGCCATCCATCAAGACCAGCAAAACTTTCAGGACCCGTCGTTAGTTGCCCTCTGCAGTTGTTTGCTTCTTTGTCTCTGAGCAGTTGTTTTCCTCTTGCTTATTTTTATCACTCTTTCTCACTTTTTGTATAATAATTGTTAAATCAAATTTATTACAAAATATTAAATGTATGATTGGCAAACCTTTCTCATTTAAATTTTTGAAACTTGACAGCGGCGCCCGCCAAGCAGAAAGCCCTAGAATCTTCCGGTATGTTCTTCCGGCTATTATTATTTTTTGTTATCATTCTTCCCAAACATCAATTACAAATACGCTCAAATTTTAAAAATGTTTATGTAAAAAATAATAATTTATATGCCTGGTGCCTTTTTAGCAACGTTCGGCTGAATAAATAAAATTATCGATTTAATCTGCCATCCTTAATTCTACTATCAAATATAATATTAGGAAACTGCAACATCCTCATCCAATCAATCCTCAACCATACATCCAACAATCCTCAACCATACATCCAACGATCCTTAACCATGCATCCAACACTCCTCAACCATGCATCCAACAATCCTCAACCATACATCCAACAATACTCAAGTGCATCCAACAACACAAATTTAGACTACACCGTACATTAGTTTAATTTAAACTGCGCAAAACAATAACCAAAAATACCCAGCAATACGCAAGAATACATCAAAATATCACTTGCTATCTATAAGAAATAACGCGAATTGATTTCATACAAAGTCGAATGAGGTTATTAGAACGCGCTATCACACACAGACACTTGACTGACGAAGTCTTCATACACATATGCACACAAACACAGATAACTACATACCTAAACATACAAACATACATACTAACATACATACTAACATACATACATGCATGCATCCATCCATACATACATAATACATACATACAAATACTCTTACATAAGAACGCACATTCTGCAACGTAGAAACGTAGCAGAATCTTTTGAAGGTCCTATTACGTCATCATCATCTTCATCATCACCATCATTTTCGTCGTCATCTATTATATATCATCTATTATATATATATATATATATATATATATATATATATATATATGTGTGTGTGTGTGTGTTGGTAAAAGACCATAATTTTTACAATATTCTGTAAGTTCTACCGAATGTTTAGCGTACAAACTTATTAACACCAAACATTCGGTACAATTTATAGAATATTGTAAATATATATATATATATATATATATATATATATATATATATATATATATATTCAAAATATTTTATAATTTAAAATACTTTTATGAAGTTTAATGATAGCTATTTTGCTCTTTTAATGTGATTGTGCTCTATATTTACCATTTTTGATTTTTTTGTTTGTCTTTATACATGCGATTGTTTGTTTGTATACATAATGTTTCTGGTGCTTTTGGCGTTTTTGTGTTATATACATTCGTTGTCGATGTTCCAAAACTTATATGTTGGATCATGTGCGACTGAGATACAGTTTTTATTCAGTTTTTTAATTTTCGGTTTCGGTACGTAAAATTTTGGGCTCAGTTTGGTTTAAATTATTTTGTGATAATTAGATAATTATTAATGCAAGAGGAAGGATAATATTTGATATCATGATAGGATTATATTGTTACATCTTGGTGGGATAATATTAAACTGCATATTTTTCCGTCTGCACCAACGCAGCATGTTTCTCCGACATTCAGAGCAAACATCTTCATCATCATCATCACCACCATCTACGTCATCATCACCATCTCCATCATCATCATCACCATCATCCATCTCTCCATCATCATCATCACCATCATCCATCTCTCCATCGTCATCATCGTCATCAACAACATCATCATATTTTTCTTTTGAAAACTTTTTTGTTCTACATTTCGTCATTTTTTGTTATATGACGTCATCACTGTCGTCACCGCCATCATCATCATCCTCGTTATCATCGTCATCATCTTCATCACCATCATCATTATCATCGTCACTAGCGGATCAACCATGTGGGCCAATGCACCAGCAATTTGGAGGACAATTTTTTCCATGGGCTATTAATTTTAAGTGGTGAAAGAGAGAGAGAGAGAAAGAGAGAGAGAGAAAGAGAGAAAGAGAGGGAAAAATAGAAAGAGAGAGAGAGGGAAAGAAATAGAGAAAGAAAAAAAAAGAGAGAGATAAGGAGAAAAAAATGGTCGTTCAGTTTGGAATTTTGAAATGTGATAGCAGAATATAAACCAGAAAATGATTTGCATGGATGTTTAACAATAAATTTTAGCACATCATTCAGCTCTACTGGTGTTATAAAACGTAAAAGAAACGTAACGAGACGAAACGAAACAAAACGAGACGATTGTATGTTGTAACGTAACAGCAGTAGTAGTTCGTTGTAATTAAAGTGAATGTGAGTAAATTTTATTTTTAATGAATATTGATTTAAGCGGCGTTAGCTGTAGTAGCAATAGTAGTAGTAGTAGTAGTAGTAGTAGTAGTAGTAGTAGTAGTAGTAGTAGTAGTAGTAGTAGTAGTAGTAGTAGTAGTAGTAGTAGTAGTAAACACACCGATCCACCACACACACACACGCGCGCACACACACACACAGACACATACACACATACAACACACATACATACAATACGGGCCAAACAATGCTTCTTGCTTCCAACATCCAGCATCCAACATGAATTATTGTCAGCGGATGCTTGTACAACTGTTTGTGTGTGTGCGTGTGCGTGTGTGCTGTGTGTGTGCGTGTGCGTGTGTGCTGTGTGTGTGCGTGTGCGTGTGTGCTGTGTGTGTGCGTATGATGAAGACAACGAAGATGATGATGGTGATGAGGAATGGTGATGATTAATTGGTGAGGGTTTTCGTTACCAAGTCTCCCCAAGCATTCCTCATTCCTGAATAGTTTAACAGATTTCATTACACTGAAATAATAATAATAATGATAATAATAACTATAGATCATTCAGTCAGGGCGTGTCGAGATGAGTAAGAGGAAATTGTTCGGCTGTAAAAAAGAAATTTCATTCATTTTTTTCCTTCCACTTTTCTTTCATTCATTTACTCATCCTGTTACTCTCTTTCCATTTGTTTTTATTTCTTTTTTATTTCTTTTATTCTTTCATTCGATTATTCAAAAAGCAGACATCCGCTTCAGAGGCGTCATTTGGGGGGAGGCAGGGGGGGCAATTGCCCGCCCCAAGAAATCAAAATTCTAAATTGCAAACACTATAAAATAATTATATAAAATTATATAATTTATTATAATTATATATACAAAATATTGTGCTTTTTAAATGTCAAGCGCTATACAATTTATTTCATTTGTCCCTACAATAACTCATGTTCTGTTTTTAAAAAACCGTTGTGTTGTCGCTATATTAGCTGTCGCGTTCGCTGTTATTTTGATTTAGCCGGAAGTCAATTTATATCATTTTTTAAGATAAAGAGTTTTTTGAATACAAATTGTTTCAGTTTCGTTAATAAATTTGATCAAACTACTAGTCAATAATAAATGATTAAATTAAATTAATTATCAATGATATAATATAAAAAATATTTTAAATCATCAAGTTGGTAAGTCAAATAACAATAACTATTTTTTCTGGATATTGTATTAAATTTTATAAAAAGTTTAGATTATATTGTAGAAAGATGTCAGCTGGAAATGAATTACCAAAGAAAAAAATTAAACTTTCAAATTATAAAAGTGTTAATTTTAAATTCTTTGTAAAAAGGATATATATAGGATATATAATTTAGTAATTTTAAAACTTTAAAAATTTTGAAATTTTAAAAACTTTAAAAATGTAAAATTTATTACAATGTTGCACTGACGAGGCTAGGTAGTCGAATTACTACTATATGCATACATGTAGATAATGACATCTTCTGTAAATATGAATTTTGTTAATAACATTAACAAGTTAAGTTTAGTAGATCGGAGAATTATTCGAAAAATCGAGAAACTATCATATAGATTGAGTTGAGTACTGTAAGAAACGCCGTGATCTTTATTAATAATATATATATATATATATATATATATATATATATATATATAAATAGTACATGCTGCTAAGTCATGGACCAAAAAAGTTCGCCCTCCCCAACCAAAATCTGAAATGACGCCCCTGATCCGCTTACGTACATTCGTACATTCATCTTTTTTTCATCCACCTATTCGTTCCTTCATTCATTCATTCGTTCGTTCATTCATTCATTCATTCAATCATTCATTCATTCATTCTTTCTTTCTTTTCCTTTTTGATCATTCATTCATATGAATATTTGCTTGACACATTTCCTAACTAATTAACGTCTGAACAACTTTTTTGAATACATACATACATACATGCATACAAACATACATACATACATACATGCATACAAACATACATACATACATACATGCATACAAACATACATACATACATACATGCATACAAACATACATACATACATACATGCATACAAACATACATACATACATGCATACATACATGTTGGTTTGATCTTAGCCTATAGTTACTCATTTCATTTGCATCTGAGTTAGCCATACACACACTTTGAGAAGTTTCAAAGGACACTAGGATATAAATTCTTTAATAATAATAATAATACATATATACAAACAAACAAACATGCAACAAAACTTGTAGAGTTGCATACAAATAATATAAGCATACAAACAAACATACAAACACACAAACGTTCGCTGGTTCATTTTCTTTCTATTTAAATACTTTTGGTGTTTGCTCGTTTCAGAACTTTAGCATTAATAACAATAGAAATAATAATAACACGAAGAAGAAGAAAAAGAATGATAATAACAATTAAGTCATCGTCATCATGATCATTAATTGTTATCAGATTCGCAATTGGTTTATCTCCTTTTTAGGGTCTTTTTCTTTTTAACCATCGTCATCATCAACATCATTGCTGTTTTTAATTTTTAATCGAGTGATTCTATGAGGCACCCGTTATTGTTCGAATCCGCATATTCTCGTTTCTATTTTTTTCATTAATTCATCCGTTCAATCATAAATTCATTCATTCGTTCTTTCATTCATTCATTCATTCGTTCACCCAATCATTCATTCATTCATTTCATTTGATTGTTGCAGGGCATGTGATGTTTTGGCAGTCTTTGTCGCTACTTTATGCTTAATATCATTATCATTATTATTATTGTTACTATAAATATCATATTGGTTATTTTCATCAATTTTCTTCCCTTGAGAATTTCTCCTGTTTATACTATGGTCAGTCGAAGTTACGGTAGTGATGATGATGATGATGATGATGATGATGATGATAACAACGAGAGTGAATACATACAAAATCTTACATACGTACATACAGACAGACACACACACACACACACACACACACACACACACACACACACACACACACACACACACACACGTTACAGAGTCATTCGTTCATAATTATTTGTATAAATTAAATGAATTATAAATTGACATTAAGTTGATGTTAACAAATCGCCCAAATAAACATTCCCTCACTAAAGGTTCCATACTGACACCTTGGACCTTCCTCCTCTTCATCTTATACTCTGCAACCAGCATTCTTACAGCCAAGTTTTGTTGAGTTTTGTTC